TCCTCACCAGGGATCAGCACAGGAATGCACCCCATACAAAGGGACTGAAGGCTCGTGGCTGATATCCAGTGATCCAGGAACGGAATCCAAGCCTCCAATTTGAGATACACAGGATTTGAATTCAAATAGTTATAAAATGCTCCTGGACAACATAGGCTGGAGCAGGAAGGCAGGCAAAACGAGGGGTGTGAATGAGAAGCCGGGATAGAGAAAACATGTTAGGGAGCTGGGGATGTGGCTCAAGCGGTAGCACACTCGCCTGGCATGCGTGCRGCCCGGGTTCGATCCTCAGCACCACATACAAACAAAGATGTTGTGTCTGCCGAGAACTAGAAAATGAATATTAAAGAATTCTCTCTCTCTCAAAAAAAAAAAAAAAAAAAGAGTGAGAGAGAGAGCATGTCAGGGGCCTGGGCCTGGCTTGTCACGCTGTAGATACAGTTTGTGGGAGTGGCACCTCTGCGCAGGGGGAGTGATGGAAGGAGCCGCACCACACCCGAGGTCTGAGGAGGGCACCTCAGTCCCAGAGGCAAGAGCACCCCAGGCTCAAGCCCATGTGTCCTGTCCTATCCTGCAGCTTTCTGAGCCTTACCACAAGTGCTTGGGCCCAAGTCCTCTCCAACCCTGTATGTGTTACCATGTGACACTCTACACCAACAGGCAGTGGCTGCAGCCTCTCTGCAGAGGAAATCCTGCGGGGCAGCCCCTGAGCTGGGCTTGCCTGAGTCACTCGTGTGGTCCACTGATGGCTGTGCACACAGGTCTAAGAATGTGTGCTGGTTGCTCAGCCCTCTCAGACCAGATTTTGATGATATTCTCTCCCCTGCAGACTCCCACCTGCCATGATATAGCACCGCCCAGGGACCCCTGCCAGAACCTGCTACTTGCACTTCTCAGCCTCCAAAACTGTGAGATAAAAAARTCTCTTTATTTGTAAGTAGGTTGTACCAGGTATTCACTGTAGTAAAGCCAACTAAGTCAGTTCCTATAAGAATTAAACGAAAGGACATATGCTTGGTCTTTAGGRGGCAAGGATAATCTTTAATAATTAAGCAATTATTGGGGCTGGGGATGTGGCTCAATCGAAGAAGATGATGAAGACAAGAGAATGTGCAGAACTGAAAGACGAGGTCATTCACATGTCAAAAAAAAAAAAAAAAAAGCAAGGCACAGAAGAGTGAAAAGTATGTTGTTTACATAGAAAAAGACTGCAGTTTGTGTGCACAGCACACCTGCAACTGATCCGTGGCACACCTCTTGAAGCTGTGTGAGGACTTGGTTGCAAGGGCTGCTGAGGGGAGAACTGGGAGTTCAGAGGGCGAGATGGGGGAACTTCCTTCTGTTTGCCTTCGTACCAGGAACAGTGCTATTTATAAAATAAGAATTTAATATCACTTTTTCAGGCACAGCGGGAGACTTGAGTAGGAGAGGCCTGGTGATGGTGCCCTTGGCAAGGAGTGGGCAGGGAAAGGGCTTTCCACCTCAACTTGTCATTCTGCAAATGCAAAGGTCGAGTGGTCCTATTGCAGCTGAGGCCCAGGGAGTGGACGGGTCCCCCGTGTGTGCTCAGTGCACAGGTGCTGAGAATCCCCGGGAAGGTGGCAAGATGGCTGAGGGCCAGGGGATGCTCAAGGTCTATACCTGTGTTAGGATGAGGGCAAGTGCACTTGGGGGGCTTCCCTTTGGACTGGTCCCAACCCGCAACAGCAAATAGCAAACGTGGCTCACCCCTGAGCTGGTCCTGGCAAAAATGAAACCCCCAGCACGAAGTAGCTGCAGATGGCAGCAAGCGTGGTTCTGCACCCTGCCCCAGCRTCAGCACCCTGCATAGTGAGGTCACCGGAAGCATAATGCCTGGAGGCTACAGAGCATGGCCCCTGGACTGGCTCTTCAGTACACATGTTCACTGGATGTAGTAAGAACATGGGAGCCCCTTCCTTTGGATGTCCAGGAAAACCGGAAGCTCTGACTCCCATGGTGCTGTCACTGCCTCTCAGGCAGTACCAGAGGCGAGGGCTCTCTGAACCCTCCCTTCAACTAATTCACCAAGGCTAGGACAGGCCTGGTAAGGAAGAGAGAAATTCTCACCYGCGTGCCATCTTGGCCAGGAGTCCTCAGAATGTAGAGCCTGCAATGAGGTTTCTAGGTGAATAGTTCAACTGTGAAAGTGATGCCAGGAAACAGAAGTGGGGGGCCAGAAAGAGTGAGRAGGGAGGGAGAACTGCTACAGGTGTATGCTGGAGTCGTCACCCTGTGGGCCACTAGGCGGAGCCAAAGGAGCTGCCCCAAAGCTGCCCRTGTGCAGCATATCAGAAGCCGCTGCACTGCCCTGAGGCTGCCTGAGGACTGAGCTCCCTTGAACCTCCAGGAGCTCCCAGAGCTCAGTGCCCTATGACGGGGAGTGCTGCAAGTCCTGCTGGCAGCACTGCGAAAGAATCAAGGGTGTGTGAAGCAAGGTACAAGAGGTGACACTGGGGACACCTGCACACAGTGAGCTGCCTTTGTGCTCAGAGTGGCGGAAAAGGGGCCAGGGCCTGGGGGCTTCACACAGCTCTGATCTTGGTACCCGTGCTGTCGCCATGCTGTTTCTCATTTAAGCCTCTCGTACCCTAGTCCCACTTTGGGATCAGCAACTGCCTGAAGTTACTCTAAGACAACAAAGGTCAAGCCCAAGTGGCCCCCAGTGCCTGTCCCAGCAGATGACTGGGGTCCTCTTGCCAGAGGGGTGCCCCTGCAGCAGGGAGCCCAATCACATACCTCTTGTCCCTGGCAGGGATTCCCTCTTCATGTCCTTCTTCCTTGGTCGAGTCTCTTGGGAAAGCCCAGGTTCTGCTCTTGGCCTTTGCTCCCTCCACAAATCTGAGCTCTCAGAGCCCTGGCCTTCTTGTCTGCTCACCCGAGTACATGGCACCTTGCATGCAGGATCAGCTCCAGGACAAACTCCTGTTGGGTGAGATGGCGAGGCCCTCCTCCCCAGAGGGCCCACAGCCCTGGCAGTGCACCTCAGCTGCCCCTGGAGCACACGGTGGGTCTCCTCCAGCAGACTTCTGTTCTGAGAAGGCCCAGATCTGCTGGGCTRCCCTTTCTACACCAGGCAAGAGGGACCCCTCCCCCTACTGCCAAGTCTCCTGGAGGTTAGCCAAATTTCAAGGTTGGGCTTCTTAATGTTCTACTGTAGCTGGAACTTCAGTGTTGCCCAAAGGCCCATGTAAAAGGCTCAGTCCTCAGAGKGGCGCTACTGGGAGGGGGTAGAAACATGAAGAGGTTGGAGTCTAGCAGGAGGTCTTCAGGTCCCTGGGGCCGTGAGTGTGGAGGAGACCGGGGCTCCACCCCTCCTCTTCCTGGTTTTGTTTATATGTTCTGCACCACAGCCCTGAGGTGAAAGCTTTGCTCTGCCACACTTCCCTGCAGTGATGTGCTACCACAGGTCCAAAGCAACAGGGCCAATCCACCATGGGCTGAGGCCGCCCAAGCAACCTCTTCTCTCTGTAGGTGATGGACTCGGGTATATGCTGCTGTGACAGTAAGCTGACCAACTGGCCATCCAGCCAGACCCACCACTCCAGCCCAAAGAGGGAAGAGCMCAGGAACGGAAGCGTTCTGCATGCCACTCAGAGAGGGGGCTGAGCCCAGTGACCCGAGGAAACAAGGAAGGCAGYCTGGCCTCCTCACTATACAGACTAAGGACCCAATGGAGCCCAGCTTCCAGGTGGCAGGTCAAAGCCTGGTCAAGCTGAAAAACTCACCCAACGTTTACATTTAAGCCTCAACTACTGCAAGTTTTATGAACTCATGCACTCCACTTGACACCACTTGTTAGATCACTGTGCAGCCAAAAGATTATCACACAGTTCAGGTAGAACCAAGGTTAAAGGCAAGTGACCCCTGGCTGAGTACCCAAAAGGTTTAATACTGGGGAAATCAACATTCAGAAATGCCAAGGCCTGCTTGAAAGGGAAGAATACCCACTTTATGTGGTGGTGGAAATGGGGATCCAGAAAATTGCTTTGTTTCATATTTTATTACATCAATGGCTTGAAAATTTTTATTTAACTTCAGCAAATATTGGAAATAGAAAAATGAATTCTGCAGAATTTCACAAATAAATCTTCCAATTTCCACTAACAAATGTTATCATCCAATGGCTAAGCAATTATAATGCTATGAACATTCACCACAATGAATGTGCTGAAATAGAAAACAGGCAAAAAGAGACATGAAAATATTACTTACAACAGCATTATCACAACATATTTTCTTTAAAATTCCAACGTGGATTTTATCACTTCAAAAGATATACAGCATTTCCATTATATTTGCACACTTAACCTTATACATCTTTTAAAATCTTGAAAAAATTTTAAGCAATCTAAAAAGCACTTAGCAAAGTTGTAAGTCTACATAATGGAATACTATCCACTCCAGTATAAATTTTTGTTTTAGGAGAAGGTGGCTGTAAACACTCATTATTTTACAACATGCATAGACTGTCCTGACCTTCCTTGTTCTGAACTGTACTGTTACTGCAATTGTGCTTCACTATAATTAGGAAAAGCTGCGGAGATCCTAGGAGTGGCGGAAGAGCATTGCACAAGATCGATAGATTCTGACGACTGAGCTACCTCGAGTCAATCTGAGGCAAACTTCATTTGATACTAAAAGCTTGACTCCTGGGTCACTAGGTTTAGAAACAGGCTTGAGAGGGGAAAAAAAGAGGCCCCCGGTGGACTTGGCTCCATCTTTCCTTTTCTCAYGTAAAAGCAGGGATCCAGCCAGTGTAAAGCACTGCTGGCTTATTTTTGGTGTGCAGTTATACCAATAGTATATCTGATATTCAGAAAGATAAAAATAGTTGAAACTTAAAGTCACAATGAACACATTWAAGAGTGGTGTATGATATTTGAGGAAATTTTACCTAAACAGAAAAGAACTGCTTGATTAATTAGTTCAGCCCAGCAAGCTTTTAGACTACTTTTTCACTTTTGTTTTTTGATTAGAGGCTTGTGACCATCAGTGGGTCTTAAGGTTAAAAACTACCAAAAACCATTGAAAGGAAGCAGTGTCTCAACACACAGGCCAAGATAACCAGCAGGTGTGCCACACTGACCTGGGGCTCCTGCAACACCAGCACCCACCTGGACTGTACCACCACTAAGCTCATCAGCACAACTGAGGCATGGTAACTTCTCGGTTGAAAGGGCTATGTTACAGAATCACTGCTGCTGACCAGCCAACACGCTATTCAAGTAACAAGGTGTTTAAATGAATAAGTGAAAAAAAAAAAATCCTTAACTAACACTTTACACATCTACATAAAATTAAATAAAACAAACTTTTAATGCATATGCAATACAATTTATATCTTTTAGGATATCTAAACTAAAAGTTAAACTATTATTTGTGTCCATGATACTATATTTTGCACAATAACTTATCCTTAGGAGAAATTTTCCACAAAAATATATATAATTATGACATTCACATTGATAAATTTTAAGAACACAAAACTTAAGTGACATTCCATCTGAAGCAGTTATCACATCCCAAACCCAACCTGCCAATGCACCTAATTCTTGATATGTTAAGAGTCTTCACATAAATAACACCACGCCACTCAGCTTTGAAAGCTAAGTGATTTCTTGCATTTACATAATTGCAAAGACAGCATAATGAAAAAAGTTAAAGACAGTGCTATCTTCTGCTTGAGACTGCAGCGATGGCAGGCAGCTGGGCAAGGAGTACCCTTCCTCTGTCAAATGAAAACAGTGCGTCCTTTCCCTTGGAGAAAGAGCCCAAATTTACCTGCTGAGATCACAAGTGCACCAGCATGTGACTCTCCAGGGATGAAGGCCACTCAGTGCCAGGAACCAAGTAAGGGGACATTGCCATTCCATCTGCACGTCACCTAAGGGCTACTATCCTTCTAGTCATTACCAGGAGGGACTCAATCTTAAGGAAGACAGCCTGAGCATGGAGAAGGAGATTGCCACTGCAACCACCACCTATTGCTCCTGCTGGGGGAGCAGAAAGCTTCAGCATGTCCCCTCAGATGCTGTGCAGAGCACAGGCTGACTGGCCCCTGCTTTTAGCCACCTCTAAACACACAGCAGGCCTACAAAAAGGACTCAGTGGTGGTGTCAGTGCTGCCTGTCTCCAAGCAAGAAGGCAGGCCCAACAACAGGCTGTGTCCAACAGACACCTGACAGGGAACAGGACCAGGAAAGCCCCTGTTCTCCCCTCTGGAATGACCTTTCCTCAGACTTCTCCAAAAGAACATACAAACTAAACTAGGTTTCTAGCTGAACCTCTTTCTAAAGAGATGATCAGTTGACTTAAAAGAAAAAGGAAAAAAAAAAAAAAAAAAGCAAGGTGCTTGGAATCAAAACACATCAAATTTTAATTGCATATTTTAAATTCTTAAGAATTATGTTTATGCCTTAAAGCATCTGTATTTTTTTCTTTTTGGTTTTAAAAGCAGAAAAAAATATTCAAAGGATGCAAACACAACAAAAGCTGCTTCCATGTGTTAGTGCAGAATGGCTGGCTGGCCGTGGTGCTGGAATGCAGGCTGGCTGGCCAAGCCTCAGCAAGCCACGGTCTGGTAGAGAACCAAGGTGATTCTGGAAGTCACACGACATTTACTAGAAAACTGTACTTGTTCCCAGTCCAACCAAAAGGCATTACATACCACTTTGTAGATTGTTTCTTTTCATTTTGGTCTTATTAGACCAATACATTGATCACTTCTCTGCCCTGTACTCKGCTATTAAAAGAGAAGGGATGGTGTTTGTGTGATCACATCAGTACACAAAGGACACAAACGGACACATGAAGTGACACACAACAGGCCAGGCACACCAGGAGGACAGGAACAAACCGTATGTAGTTTCTATAAAACCATCACCAGTTATCCTAACATGCTTTATTGAACTAACCTGACGTTCAAAATCTGCACTCTGTCGGGATCTGCAGAAGCTCTCCCTGTCTCCTATCTCAATGATGTCATCTTTGGCAAGCAATAAACTTTAAATAAGACACTTGAACAGAAAAGGGACCGATAACATGGTTGCCAAAAGGAGAAGGCACCAGTTCCAAGTGTCAAGCACCAGGTACAGTGATATGGACTGAGCCGCTCAGAGTTGTGGCGGCAGTGGTGGTGGGGGGTCAGGAAAAGGTGGGTGCACCCACCCTGGGACTATAACGCTGAGGGCTGAAGGCAGAAAGCACTGAGGTCCACATTCCCTTTAAGCCACAGTGTCCAAGGATAGGTACTCTGAGTGAGCTTGACCACTCGGGAAGGGAAAAGGGGGGAGATTTAGGTTGACTAAACTCGGAAACTGTAACTCTACCCTGCATTTAGGAAACACGAGGCGCATCCAGATGCTTGGCACAATAAAGGCTGCGCTGCAGTCTGCCGATACACTGTAATTTTCTAAAGAAGCCTGATGCTACTTAGGTGGTTGCTTCAGAAGAGAGGAAGAGAAACTTTCTAGAAGACCAACAGGGTCAGTAACTCTGGAAAGTACATTATGCACAAGTAGAAACTGCAGGCCATGCAGGAACAGAGTCAGGCCTTCCAAGACTACCTGTTCTGAAGCTGCTGACAGAGAAGAGCTGCCATCGGTGGGGCTCAAGGACTCCGTCTTGGGAGTGGGTCCCAGAGTTGAGGGAGGTGTGCAGGCTGTGGGCTGCCCAGCACTGAGGCAGGGGWAGAGACGTGATGGAGCTCTCTGGAAGTGGCGCCAACAGGGAGGAACGAGCAAAGAATTAAGGCAGATGTAGCACAGGACTGGAAGTGTATGCCTTTTTTGGTAATAGCTGCTTGTCCACAGAGATGTGATGCAGATGGCTAGGTGATGTCTCGTAATACCTGATATCCTGGGTAACATGGAGTCCATACCAAGTGTTCAGAGTTACCAGCATTTCTCATGAGGCAGATGCATATCTGACGTCGAGAACAGAAGCAGCCTGAGGAGGACAAAAGGGAGGGAAAGGATCAAGGAGCAGATMGAGGACATACACTGCTAACCCTGGTGTGCTCAAGTCGGGCAGAGAGCCCACACAACAACCCCTACAGCAAACAATGTGTGGCCAGTAGGCATGACTCCAAGGGCAGGCAAGGGCATGTCACCCTGGACAAGTTCTTCCTTTGTGAGCATCACTCTTGCCCTCTGCATCATGTGCACCACAGTGATGCCCTCTCTTCACAGGGGCAGGTCAGCACGGAGCTTGGCCAGCAGGACCACTCAGGCAATTACAGCTACCTACAGCTATGCACATCGGCGAGGGGAAGGCTGTAGTTCCTGGCACTACAACCAACCAACCCCTGGTTTCTACTAGGGGGTGGGAATTGAAGGCTGCAGGATCTTTGTTAAAGCTACAAAGGCATCTCTTCATCTTTGATTTCCAAAGGGAATGTGGTGTTTTACTGCTGGGAAGCAATGGGGCTATGAATACGAAATCTCAAAGTGCTGGTCCTTCAAGTGAAACAGCAATTTACAGGAACGGCTGTTGGTTAAATCAGGAGCTTTTCCCTCATTGGTAATGAAAACTCCAAATTGTTTCAGCTTCCTAACTTCCTCATGCTGAGAATGAAAACTTGCCAGGGCAAGTGCAAGGGAGCTGGCACAGCCCAGCGCGCCTGCTGACCTCTGTTTCTCACAGCACAGCGGCTCTGCAGGGCTGGGGGGTCCTGCAGTCTAGATGCTTCTGTCCAGTTTGATCATATAGTCAAATTCATTGTTCCTCTGCACATCATTTGTTTCTCTCTTATGCAGGTGGATGACCACCTGGGATGCCAGCTGGGATCCAGGCAGGTTCCCTGGCTAGGCTGTGGGTGACAGCACTGAACCCCACCATTCCATTACTTTAAGTGAGACATTCCAGCATCTTCTCATGCCCCTTCTCTAATGCAAGGCTGGACATAACAGTATCTCTATACCCCAATCTTGGGCACCTCAAGGAACTCCAAATCTCAAATGCACAAACCCTTCCTTTCTTAGCTGGGGAAACATCTACAACTGACAGACCATCATGCTATTTGCACTTCTGCAGTTGCGACATCCTACTCCCTGCATGTTCTGCAAAAGATACGAAATCTGAAGGTGGAAGGGCAGCAGGACACCAGCAGACATCCTCAGCTGCTGGTCCCACAAGGTAAATGAGAGCGTCAGACTACCACAGCTCAGGTTCTGAGCACTGTGAGCAGCCAGCCAATGTTCTAACAGGTCCCCATTGGCCCTGGGAAGTAGAGAAGCAGTGGGCCCTTACAGGCTAATGTCCTTCTACAAACTAACATATAGAAAACAAAAATCCAGGGATGGCAGGGTACAGTTGGTGCTGTAAGAAGTATAAAAGAAAAGGGACTAGAGAAATACAGCTGTGTGGGTAATTCTTTTTTTTTTTTTTTTAATTTTTTATTTATTTTTTAGTTCTCGGCGGACACAACATCTTTGTTGGTATGTGGTGCTGAGGATCAAACCGGGGCCGCAAACATGCCAGGCGAGCGCGCTACCACTTGAGCCACATCCCCAGCCCCTGTGTGGGTAATTCTTTAAATGGCCAAAGGGGTGAGAACTTTTGAGAAGGTGATAGAAAGATCATACCTTAAAGACGCATCAGATAATACCATTCTCCTTTGTCATGCTTTATTTTGGAAGAAGGCTAGGTAAACAGTATACAGATCAAGCATCAAAGAGAAATTAAGGTCTATGGCTTGGTGTGAGGTCCAGTTACAGATGGGCTATAACCAGGATGGGAAAAGATACCACATGGCTGGGCCCAGTGGATTCCAGCAATTCAAGAGGCTGAGGTAGAAGGATCACAAGTTCAAGGCCAGACTGAGCAACTTGRCAAGTYCCTGTCTCAAATTAAAAAGTAAAAAGAGCAAATCGATATAGTTCCATGGAAGAGTGCCTCTGGGTTCAATGCTCAGTGTTGCAATAAATAAATAAACGAATAAATAAAGGGGGAGGGGAAGGAAAGGCATTACATGAAAATTCTGAAGCATGCCCTACACAAGGCGCAGGCTGTGAAGGACATCGTCCTGGACCAGCAACACCTGGTAACTCTAAGTCAGTCTGTATATGAACCAGGCCTAAAAGGAGAGAAAGCCGTATGCAGAAGAGCTGACTGCCTGATGACGAGGACTTGGATCTCTCACGCTAGCCCTCTAAATACTGAGAGAGACCATTTTTGCTTTTAGCAGCCCTGAGAATACAGTTGGAAGGTTCATGGAAGAATGTTTTGAGTCTTACAAATTCTAACATTCTTCTCCCCACTGCCCCTACTTTTCAATGCTTCCACCTGRTCCAAGACTTTAGGGAAGCTGGTTTGTTACTAGAGGGGCAATTAACAAACAAACAACAACAAAAAAACTGCTAATAGGCAGAAACCCTCATTTTGCCCAGATGCTATGAAGCTCCAGGGACACAGGCTAGGCCTTGAGGTGACTCAGGCACCACTCATATTGGCAACACTACAGATTACACATGATGCAAGGTTTCTTTGGTAAAAGGCTCTAGAGAATCTTTCAGTGCTTTCCTAATGGAGGGAAGCACCTTGAAGCCCTTTCTAGCTAAGGCACACAGACCCTTCAGACTAGTACCATCACTGTCCTCATCACATACTCTCAAAGAGTTGTAGCACACACAGCAGAAAACAGGTGACTTCAAATCATTCCCACATGGTTTGAGGAAGACACTGGTGAGGAAGTGACTTTCTTCAGAATGCTAAATTAATCCTGAAGTGGTCATGTCCATAAGAAAACCCACACAAGTGGAGATCACCTAGTCTTAGACCTGTGTGTACCTTCCCTGGGAGCAGAGGGAGGACTGCAGTGGAATGGCCACGTGAGGCAGTAGACAGCAAGGAATCACGCAGGGAGCAGTGGGAGCAGAGGCTTCTGCAGCAGAGCTTCTGCCCTCATCCTAGCCGACAGGGCTGATGAATCAGTAATCACCATCCCAGAAATTACTCGGCTTCAGCCACCATTCTAGATGTTCTGGCAGATGCTGGATCTAGAATTGTCCCCATCAATATTTAAGCCAGCAGCTTCAAACAGCACTGAAGGGTGGGAGAGGGAAGCAGAAACACCCTGCAGGGGCCCCTGCAGTCAGTGCAGTCACCCAGTGGGGTCAGAAGCCCCATGTCCAGCTCACAGCACACGAGACGTGACTGAGCCACATAGACACTCCTCAGGGCATTTCCAACATATGTTCCATGACAGCTTTTCACTGTGTTGAAGAAGCTACTGGTTGGATCTGGGGTAGAGGTTGGATCAGAGGTAGAGCACTTGCCTAGCATGTGTGTAGCACTGAGTTCAACMCTCAGCACCATATGCAAATAAATAAATAAAAGTCCACCAACAACTAAAAAATTAAAAAAGCAGCTACCAGTCATGTGGAGTATTTTATGGCTGGAGGGAACCAGGGGAGAATTAAAAACCTTCTTCTGAGTTAGAATGGGAGAGGTATACAATGACAACAACTTGCCAGCGCCAGCACACGTACATTATAGTTGTTACAGGTAGAAGTGGCTAATGCAGCTGAAACCTAAAGAGATTTCACCAGAGGAAAAAGTTTCCTCTTTAGAAACCAGCTGTAGTCTTGTGGGCAGGGTGGTAGTGGGGAGACTACGCGTGTCACACTCACCTCTTCTTCCTCTTCAGGCAGCTTGATAGCTGTATCTGGGGACTTGACAGGTTTCTGGCTACTGGGTCCATTGGTCTCTTCTTTTCCATGTTCTGCCTCCCATTCTTGTAAAACTTCATCTATGTTGAAGCGGCGTCGGTAATTTACAAAAAAGTTTTTCACCTGTACCACTGACTTGTTCCCAATCACGTCGGAGATTGCCTGAAAATCTCGGCCATATTTCCTGATGGCTAAGGATGGAAGAGAGCATTTTTTTTTTTTCAAATACAATGTTTAAAACCCATAAACTGAGGTTTACCCTTTATCTTGATAAGAAAACATAGGCTTTGAACAGCATGTCACTCCAGTGGAAAGCCATGGCGGTCGAGTCTAGACACACCATGTGGATGCCGGCACACAATTAGTGGGACCTGTCGGCTGGGATCTGTCTTCCATCACATGTCACAGAACATGACCTGCTCAAGTCCTGCAGTGCCCATGGCTGTGGATGCTCTGGGTCACAGCTCTTCAAATTCCCCAAGTACAGAGCACTGCCTACCTTAAAATCCTAACCTTTCATCTGCATCTTTTGGGGATTKACACTTTCTGACTATTCAGAGCCCAAAAGCAACTCCTAACATGCAACACTCACACCCTTAGAAAACTGGCTTCCCGTTTAGTTTTCAACTTGTGAAAAGTGGGAGAGAAAGAATAGAAAAGGACAGCCAGGGAACAGGGACAGATGATTCCCACTAGGAGACAGCAATCTTCCATGGGAATCAAGAGCCAGCACCCTCTCCACACCCCACCCCGGTACTTTCTGAAAATGCCCATACCTTGTACGGCCAGAAGCTGCTCTTCTGTGGTCCAACGGGCGTTGCACTTCTGTGTGACCTGAATATGCAAATGCAGCGTTAGTGTATCACACTCAGAGAGAAGCAGGTTTCTACCACAGTTTAATGAGTTTTTCATTTACGCCTGTCAAATTTTATTGTCACTGAGAATTGTAAAATTGTGCCCATACCCTTCTTTTCTAAGAGGTTTATTTTGGAGATATGTCACAGACATTACATTTTAAGCACAYACACGTGGGTACAACTTCCTGGATGATGTTCCATAACCCTACCTCTGGAAGTCGGTACAGCTCTATTCCACCATCAAGCTTTTCTTTGAGAGCACTGTTCGTCTGTTTAATATTCTGAATCTAAGAATGAAAAGAGATTTTCATTTTAAAAATGAAAACTTACTAAAAGAAACAAACAAAAACACCACCCCCAACAACAATAATAACAAAAAACAAGAGCAAAACGATTCCTCACCCCTGTTGTAGACCAAACAAGAGGTCCCAAAGGTCCTCTTAAAGGTATTTGGTATCTTACAAGACTCCTGAAGCTATCTGCTCAGAGCAACAGATAAGGGATAGCCAAGAAGGCAGGGTGATGAGAAGGTGCCTGGTTCTCACAAGTGACCACCTGAGCAGCAAAACATGCAGCTGCAGTCTGCTCCAAAGGAGAGGATATTTCTGGGTTTTCCACCACACAGAAATGAGCTGAAGTAACAGAGCAGTCAGCATAAAGGCTGAACAGGCCTAGGACCCATGCAGCACTGTGGTGAAAGCTTCCCAGAGCTCCACCCTGTGCTGCCTAGGTCCACAAGCACTGGCCTCCTCAAAGGGGATGGAAGGCAACATGCCAGCGCGTTTCCCACACCCTATCCTATCCACCTTATCCTCTTCCTCAGTCTTGCTCTAACTCAGTGTACCTAGTCTTTCATGGCTCTTGCCCAATCAAAAGACAGCACAAGCAGTACAAACCAACCCCACATGCTGCTTCAGGTATCCCGGGCACTCCTCAACCAGGCAGGCAAGAGGCCGTGCTCTTTCCTGAACACYCAGCAGAGGCACATCCATGCTCCACACCAGAGGACCTCTGACTCTTGTGGTTTTCATCTTTGAATTACCACACCAACAAGAAAGCGAGGGAAAAAGCAGGATGATTTTCTCGAAAGAAATTCAAGAGTGGAAGATGCTCCCTTACCAGTTTCCAGTTTTATATGCTCTTACGTCATGTTTTGTTTGTTTGTTTTTTCCTAAAAAAATTTTAAAGAGGGRGTGTTTGGGGGAAAATTTTTCCTCACTGTAGGATTAGTACCCAAGTAAGACCAGCCCTGTGCGGACCAGAATCTGACCATCTGCCATTAGGATACTCCAGAGTGTACTGGAAACAGWGACTTCTATCTTTCCACATTAACACTCAAAGACAACTTTGAAGAAAACAAATGTGCACCAAATTTACCCTACAATAAAGCCACAAATGGGGATCTTGGGTTTTTTTTTTTAATATTTTATTTTTTAGTTGAACACAATATCATCTTTATCTTATTTATTTATTTTTATGTAGTGCTAAGGATTAAACCAGGGCCTCACACATGCTAGGGGAGCACTCTGAGCTACAACCCCAGCACAGGGATCTTGGTTTTTTGAAATCTGCTTCTATCACTGTGTTTTGAAAAGGATAAATCAGAAGAAAATAACAGGTCCTAGAGCTTTCCTCATAGTGAGTCAGTCCCCAGTGTGGTAGTCTGAGCCCTCCAGCACTGTCTATCCTGCTGCTGGGCTACCCGAAGGTCCTGTACCCATCAGCTACCTGCAAAACTCTGGTGACTCAGAGCTTGCCCAGAGCTCGGAGGAGGCCCAGAGCAACAGGCTCTGCTCACTGTGAGCACAAAGAGTGTCCAGGGCCCTTCTCCCTGTGTCTCTGACTCCTTAGGCTACAAACTAGACACAGCTGTTGCCTGTTGCCGATGGGGAGCAAATTCAGGGCCTGAAAAGTGTGCAGCCCCTGGCACTCCAGGGGAAAGTGTCACTCCCTCACTTGAGCTGGCGTTTCACAGATAACACAAACTAGATACATGCTGCACTGTGATTAATAAACAAATGCATTCTCTAAGGAGATTAATGTACTTAGAATACGCATTTCCTGTCCAAGCAAGGAGATTAAATGTAGAACATTCTCAAATTCTGAACCCAAAGTGAGCTCTAACTTCTCATCAGCATACACCTCTAGTCCCCTTTCCATACACTTTCCATATCTGAAATATCCAGTGTTTATAATCAGAATAAGAATGAGGTTAATCRCCAACACTGTACGAACCAGACTGGACGCCAGAGGGACAACTAAGTTATGAGAGGAGACAGAGGTGTGATCAGCACTAAGGCATGGGKCCTGGCACCTCAGGCAGACCTCCCAATGGGGCACAGCTTTATTTTTTCCTCCCTGTGGGCACAGTGCCGTCTCTGCTGTCAGACCACTTCATTCTCCACCCAGAGGAGGCCCAGAGCAATAGGCTCTGCTTACTGTGAGCATAAAGAGTGCCCAGGGCCCTTCTCCCTGTGTTTCTGACAGGCACTGATGTTATTCTCTAGGAGCAAAGAGGAGAAGCACTGTGGGGGGAGCCGGCAGGCAGGAATCTGCTGGGGCTTCTGGTAGGGCAGCTTTGCTCTTCCTGCTACCAGGGACGGACAAGTTAGCTCCACCTCATCTCTTCTTATTATTGCCCTAAATACAAATGCAGGGGTTACAAAATGGCTCCCACACTATCCCATGGGGGAGCAATAACAAGAGAAGCCAATATACTAAGGATGGCAGARGAGAGAACCTAAAAGCACCTGGATTCCTGGGAGCATCTGTAAACAGATGAATTAAGGCCTGCACCCACTGATGCTGATTCTTCCTGCTACTGGAGACAAATCACTCCTTAGTTACCCAAGCCGATAGCAGATTTCTTCCGATTACTTTCAAGTGAGTGTTCCCCTGATACACTAGCAAACCTGGGCACACATAGTGACTGTCCCTCACATAAATGACAGTCACTGAGTCTAGAAATGGACTTAGCAGCCACAGTACTGCTGACTGTGGCATGGAAGCACTTATCTCCTCACCCAATAAGCTGGGCTCCAACCTGCGCATCTTCAAAACTGTCAACCCCCAATCAGTTACCTTCACACTACAAAAATCTGTCTTAGCCAGTAGTGGCACACATCTGTGTTACAGCAATTCTGGAGGCTGAGACAGGAGAAGGAGCGCAAGCTGAAGCCCAGACTGAGCAACTCAGTGAGACCCTGTCTCAAAAAATAAAAAGGGAWGGGGATGTAACTCAGCAGTAGAGTGTCCCTGCATTCAGTCCCCAGTGCTCAGAACAATAACAACAAAACAAAAAGCAAAAAGAAAAGGCCGCTCTTGACCCTGAAAACCAAAGCATCATTTTTACCTCCTGTACTGAAGTTCAGCAGATTATCTGGCAGGGGGCTTTGCCTTTCCTCCACATACAATAACATCAACCACCAGGAACCAACTCAGCAGGAGGAAAACAAGCTCCTTGTAGAAGATGACCAACAGAGCTCTCATCAGAGCTCCCCACTGCTTCTGCAGAGCAGTCCTGATGGTCCAGGGAGATCAGGCCACAAGGATTAATCTCCTCATTCAAGAAGAGGCCCAGAAGATTGATTCTCCCAAGATGAGAGCACAGCTGTGCTGACATCAAGACAAGGAGCTGCCTCCCCTCCCAGGGCATGACCGGCCCTACTCTGTGCTGTCTCCCTAAACCAGAAGGAAGATAGGTTCACAGACCCCACACGTCTCAGCCGGGTGGCAGCTGGTCTCCCATTTAATCCTGCAAGGGAGATATTAAGAGTAACAACTCAAAAGCAACAGAGACCCAAACTAAACTGTTGCCCACAATTTGCTGATGCTTTCCTGGAACTGAATTCCAGAGAGAGAGAAAAAAGGTGGGGGGAGGGGGAGGCTAATACTAGGCTGCTTGTTGAATCTCCAGTTTTTTTTCTTTTGTTGTTGTTGCTTTCTTTGTGTGTGTATGGTGCTGGGGATTGAACCCAGGGCCTTGTGTATGTGAGGCAAGCACTCTACCAACTGAACTATATCCCCATCCCAAATCTCCAGTTTAAATGTACTATGCAACCAGATGAAAGGGATGAGCCCTTTCTACATGGTAGGTGCAAATAACTACAAAAAATAATAATAATAATAAAATAAATAAATAAATTGCTTTCCTTGGCAAGAGCCCTTCAGAAAGTACCAAACACCTAAGAAAATGAAACTATTACAAATGACGTATAAGCCTTATTTACTAGGAAATGACAAAACAGAAAAATTAAAGACTTAGAGATATAGTGGTACACCATGTTCATTCATCCAGAAGTCTCAACAAGGATGTGAACTTGACAAAGTTCTAGAGCAACTATTTTTCTAGAAATTGAGAGTGGTTCAAATTTCTCTAGGGAAGTACAAGGATCCAGGGATAATCAAGAACAAGAAGAATGGGCTGGGTTCTGGCTCAGTGGTAGAGCGTTCACCTGGCATATGTGAAGCACTGGGTTCRATCCTCAGCACCACATAAAAAATAAATAAATCAAATAAAGGTATCCACCTACAACTAAAATTGTTCTTAAAAAAAGAACTAGAAGACTTATAGTACCAGATAAATTTACAAAGTACATAAAACCAGAATAGCATTATTAGTGAAGGATGAGAACCCAGGCCAAAGGAACAGAGCCTCAAACCAGACCCATGGATTTAAATGCAGGTCCTGCTGCACTGCAGTGGGAAAGGGCAGGCTTCTCAATAAAAAGTACCTGGTCAAATAGATGCTTGCATTATAAACCCCCTGACAGCGACCTTACATTTAACAATACAGGTGGGCTGCAGACTAAGTGCAAAAGGTGGGCAATGCTGCTAGGGAGGTGCGGGAGCATGTCTTCCCACCTGGGGAAAGGCTCCTGGCAGAGCTGAAGCCACCAGCCAGTGAAGACAAGGTGAGAAACAGACTACCCGATAGAATTCCAGTTGGCTGAGGCAGGACGATTGCAAGTTTGAGCCTCACAAAGACTTAGTGTTACTCTGTCTCAAAATAAAAACCAAAAGAGACTGAAGATGTGGCTCAGGGGCTTTACCCCTAGTTCAATCCCCAGTACTATGAAAAATAGAAAGTTCGGTGGAACATTTTCAGAAAATAGTTATTTATTTAGCCTTAATCATGATATAAGACTCAGCCATTAAAGCTATAGCCCTTCCCTTTGCCCACCCCATTATTAAAATGAGCCAGTCACATGGACTGTAACCCCGAGCTCCTCCTATCAGAGCAAGCTGCAGTACTGCCTTAAGGATAAAGCAGGGGCACTGCCTGCCTAGGTGTGACTGCCAGCCAGTTTGGGARCACATCTCCAGCGTAAGTAAAGTCTGCCTTGCTGAGCTACTTCCCAGCATGGGCTTGATTGCTTGCAGCACCCCGGTATTTCTWACAGTACCAACACCCACTCCAAGAAAAAAGAATTTCAGAAAACCCCATTAACATGTGGCGACACAGGATGGGAAGCATATGTTTGTTTATGAGACGAGTGGGTAGAGAACAATTCAGAACTTGAATGAAGAACATGTACAGATGAAGAAGAAAACGATCCAAAAGAAAAGAAATGGACAAAAATTGGATAAGTGGGTGAGCAAGAGGATATATCCAAATGGCCAACAAGTAGGGGACTACAGGCAGGATAGAGAGTGAGATAAAACACCATTATAAATGTAAAAAAAAGCCACGCGCAGTGGCGCATGGCTGTAMCCTGAGAGWCTCAGGAGGCTAAGGCCGGAGGATCCGAATTCAGAGCCAGCCTCAGCAATGKCGAGGYGCTATGCAACTCAGTGAGACCCTGTCTCTAAATAAAATACAAAATAGGGCTTGGGATGTGGCTCAGTGGTCAAGAACCCCTGAGTTTAATCCCTGATCACATACCTCCTCCAAAATAAAAAATAACTAAAAAAAGTGGAGAGAAAGATAAAGTGCTGTTCAGGATGCAGTGGGGACAATGTGCCCAAGGGGCAATCTGGCAAAGCCTGGGGTGTTGCTGTTGTCACAACTGATAGGGGGAGGGTGAGTGAGTAGAGGCYAGGGAGAGTGCTGGACATCCTGTTATGGTTTAGACATGAGGGGTACTCCAAAGCTCATGTGTGAGATGGTGCAAGAAAGATGAGAGGTGAAATGACTGGCTTAAGAGTTTTAAGCCAGTGAGTGCATCAATCCAATGATAGGCAGGTAGGGTGTGGCTGGAGGAGGAGGGTGACTGGAGATGTGCCTTTGGGATTTACATTCTGTCCGTGGTGAAGCAAGTTCTTTATGCTTCCTGACGGCCTATCCTGAGCTGCTTTCCTCCAGCATACCTTTCTRCCATGATGTCTTCCCTCTCCACGGGTCCAGAGCAATGGAGTCGGTTGTCCATGGAATAAAACCATGAGCCCCAAATAAACTTTTCCTCCTCTAAAATTCTTCTTGTCGGGTCTATGGGTCACAGCAAAAAAGCTGTCTAAGAGCTGGGGTTGTAGCCCAGCATGTACGTGAGGCAGTGGATTCAATTCTCAGCATCACATATAAACCAATAAAGGTTCACGATAACAACAACAACAAAACTAACACACAGCCCAATTAGTCCAACAGTGCTGAAGGTAGGAAATGCAAGCAGGGGAACCAAAGCCCAGGTAAGCCGACAGGCCCACTGTAGGGAACTGCTGGGTGTGTTACCTGGGGCTGCACAGGTGATAACTCTGCAGTCCCACCAAAAGGGATCCACAGAGATGTGCCCAACAGAGACACATGCACAATGCATCAGCATTCACATAAGCAATGTCTGCACCAGTACCACATGTACTGGCCCTGAATGGCAAGTGTGTGTGCTATGTTTTTCTTTTTTGACACAACTACAAGTAAACAGGTACTTTGTGCCATCAAGCAATGAGAAAGAACAGAACAAGGTGACAGTGCCACACTACACAGATGGCTCCCACACGCTGAAAGAAAATGAGACGTGAAAGAAATAACAGCACATGGTTATAAAATAAATCATAAAATCCCAATCTATGGCTTTAAAACACAGAACCCGTGGTCCTCTCCTGGAGAAGGCAATTCAGGGAAGAGCAGAGGGAGTGGAGCTCTGGAAATGGAAAAGGGTAGGGGCTTCGGAGGAGAGGGTCCCCTTCCTGGTCCAGATATGCCACTGCAGAGTGTTCATGTGTTAAAAATCAAGACACTCAGACACACACACAAATGTATGTACCATAGATAAATTAAAGTCCACATACTTTTTCCATACTTCAATTCAAAAGTAAATTTAAAAAAAATTAATGAGTCAATATCCAAGTTTTTCTATCCAATTTCTTAGATTTGTGGAAAGGAAATAGCCACTGTGAGCAGCAACACCTGGAGGGTGGAAGCCRACCCCAAGCACTGGACTCAGGTACCTGTCGTTTGATGGACACCAACTCCATGTCCAGCTGTCTCAGCACCGTGGTAGCAGCAGTGGCATTGGCAGAAACAGCCTCCACATCTTCCTGGGATAGAAACATGCCTTTTGGAGGTTTCCTTTTTGCTCTATTCTTAGCTTGTGTGCTATGTTTTTCTTTTTTGACCTGAGGAACTGTCTCAGTAGGGGGCACCTGCAGGATAAACAAATTTTGGTGAATGAAACCAAAAAGCAAAAATGCCACGAGTAGCAATAAGCACGTTCTTAATAAAGCCGCAAACAATCTAAGACACATACAATGCCGTCTGCTGATTATCACCTATAAGCTCTAACAGGCACTTAACAGACACAAACATGGCTATGGGATTTTGGTTAAGTACTTTAGTGTCTGTTTCCCTTTTTTTTTTTTTTTTTTTT